TGCCCACAATTCCACCACCAGGAAATGCGATGGTTATGCTGCTAATGTCACCACCACCCGGAGTGCCTCCATCCGGGCACAGTGAATGATCATAACAGCCAACCTTGCAAGGAGCATGCTATCACCCCATTTTACAGAGGAGAAAACTGAGGTGAAGAGCCAGCTAGGAACCAGAACCCAGATCTGCCTGCACAGCAGTTGCCTTTTTAAAATGTAAGCAGGCCTGGGAAGGGTAGCACATTAAGTGTCATTGTCATTTACATCTGTTGGTCATGGTATTGCTCAGCTGCCAAAGATCATAATGCTGAGCTAATGGGAAAGGAGAGGGTATATGTGTGTACAGGATAAAGAAAGCATGGTTTTGGAACGCCAGGGGTTGAGAGAAAGCTGGGTGGCGTGGGTGCCAGCGGAGAATGGGGTGTGAAAGGGAAGTGGGGTGGAGGTCAGAAAATAGACCTTCAGCACTTCCTAGTTTTATTTTTGCCGTGTTTGCAGCTTGAGAGGGAAGAGGTTGGTTGGCTCTGCCCCAGAGATGTTGTGTGACCTCTGCCCTTTCCAAAGCCACCGATCCCCAGAGCTCTAGTCTCTGCCCCTGGGCTGAGCGCTTAGGAGGAGCTCAGCTGGAGGCAGGCCCAGGGCACTCTGTACCTGCCGGGCAAGTGGAAACTACTTGAAACCTTAAATGGAGCAGACCTTGAAGTCCCCTGGAGCTGCCCAAGGCACAGAGGCGGCCCCATGCACAACTGACCGGCCCCAGGCTCACAAGATCCCAGTTGCTCAGGCCACGTGTCACCTCCTCCCCTCCATGCCCAGCCCCTGCAAGGACATCCCTGGATGCCAGGAAAGGAAGGCTATCTGTTCACTGAGCACCTACTGTGTGCACAGGCTCTTGCTAGGTGCCTCTCACACTTTCTCACTTAGTGCTCACAATAGCAGATGAGGCCGGAGCTCAGAGGGTGAAGCAGCCTGTTGCGTCACTCAGAGCCGCAGGGGGATCCAGGCTTGGCTGCTCTCGCCTCTGCTCCTGTCACCTTGCTGAAGGAATCCCGGCTTGGCCTCACAGCTCTGGGCTGCTGCATGCCTCCCTCCTCTACAGGGACTTTCTCCTTTGGTGTCCTCATGCTCAGGGTAGAGGATGGGCCCGGGAGGAGGGGTGGGAGGGAAGGCATGAAGGGAGTCGGATCAAGCCCTGGGAAGTCCCCCCTGCTGTCTTTCTCCTGCACCTCTGAGGATAAACTGTCGGTGGGCCTGGGCTGTTGGAGGGTAGAGCCCAGCAGGACACATCAGCTGTGACAGTTTGAGGGCTGTTGGGCCACTGTGTGTGTTGGGGGGTCG